AAAAAAAAAAAAAAAAAAAACAAACAAACAAACAGGCAAAACAAAAACAAGAATGCTCATGCGGTCATAAAGGCATGTTAGAACAGAAAATCATCTTTGGCAAACAAAATTAATCGCGAGATCAGAAATAAATTTAGTAGTATCCAGCATACCACCATGATTTACTCTATAAGCTTGCCTGCTCGGAGGGTAAACATTCTGCCATTAGCAGAAATTAAGGAACAAAGTATTTCCAATTCCAGAAATTATTTACCGGATACACGACAACTGTAAGTATTGTTATCCTCTTCAGCAACATACTTGTTAGCATCTTGTAACCAGGATTCAACCTACATCCATGTCATACAAACAAGAGATGATGAGAAGTAGAGAGAAAAGAAAGGAGACATTGACTCGAGTTGCTCCTATAAAAAGTAATGTCACAATTAATATCTTTTGACAGTAAAAATAAATCTTGCATATGTAGCTAGCAGCAGACTAACTAGAAAAGCAAGTTGAAACTAATACAAAATCGCTCACCTAAAGTTTCAAAACTCAAATATCTAAGAAAAACAGGTGGAAACACACAAACAAAAGAAAATGTTACAGTCCAATTGGGCCGAGCCGACAACATATATACATCTGGATATAAACTTAGAGAGAGAGAGAGAGAGAGAGAGAGAGAGAGGGAGGGGGAGTACCTGTTTGTCCGTCATTTGAAGGAAACCAATAGTGTAGTAGACTAACCCATATAAATTGAATTTGTTCATAATAACCTACATGAGAAAATAAAGACTTCCAAAAAATCTGAAAGTGGAATCCAGAGCAAGACAATAGGGAAATGGCTTTGCAATATACCTTCACAAACCTCGGGCTTCCAGTAGCAGTCACTAAAAGTTCAAATAACTGCACCCAAGACCAGGAATTGCATGTCAAACACAAAATTGCAATTATTCCACAATCACCCAACCAAAAGATAAACAATTCTCTATTAAGACCTTTAATTGTCATCAAAGTCCACACATGCACACTACACAAGTGTCACAATACAAGCACATGCTACACACACTTCCCATGCATTCACAAACATGCAATGCATTTTCAAGCTGACATGACATGCTATACACAGAACACACACCACACACATTTAACACATACACACCGCACACATTCTGCACACATTCTACACACAATTTCAGGAAAGATAAGTTCCAACCACATAAAAGAAACAAAACGTTTCACTGTAAGAAGTCAGCACCAGTGCATAGTTTAGTCATGAAGTTTTATTTGATGCTACTTCTCCTTGACCAAACTTCAGAGAACAAGTAAGAGTGTACTAACCTGGTTAACAAGGGACTCGAGACTATCCTCCACACCATCAAAAGAAGAAGCGTACGGATCGTCATCATAATATTCAACGCCTTCAATCGCTGAGCACTCATAAACTTCCAACGTTGAGATAAATGTTTCCCACAACGGCAGCAGATATACTGAAATACCGCCAGAGAGAGAAACTATGAGAATAAGAACAAAAGGATGAGCGGAAAAGGAAGAAAAA